GGGCTGCAGGTCAAGGAGGCGGCGTCTCCGGCCTCTGTCTAGGGCGCTGCTGGAGCGCTCGGATCCATGCCCGAGGGGACGTGGTCGGAGACTCAGTGAGGTACTGGACCAGATGGTCGGGCACAAAAGGAAACCAAGAGAGAGAGCGCGCATTGTCAGCACAGCAGGCCAAGACAAGCACTGAGCACTGCCATCCATGTGGCGATAGCCGTGGGCCGCAAGAGGCTCGAGCCCTGGAGCCCAATGGGGTCCTCGCGCCGTGGTGGCCGAGGTGCCACGGCCCCGTAGAGAGAGGGATGCGAATACATGGCGCTGCGCGTCGCGATGTGGATCGCTTAGTAATCACCCCCCCCACCTGGAGTGCCAGGGGGTTCGGCCGCGGCGCGTCCCCGGGGGTGCCAGCGGGGGTCTGGAGTTCGCTCCCTTCCCCGCTGAGGCGCGGCGGTGGTGCCGAGGGGGGTTGGCCGCGCCGCGTTTTCACGCTTGTCACCCCCCAGCTGAGGAATAAGAAGTTCGGAGTACGGCAGGAGGAAACAATTCGTGGACACTCCCCCGCCCCCCAAACTCAAAGTTGGCACGCGCGGGGAAGACGGAGGTCGAAGTGCACCTCGTTCCACCCACCGCCCACGTTGATCTCTGGGGGTGGCAGTGACAGATGGATGTGGCATAAGTGTTCGCTGATTTATTCCGAGGCCTGTAGCAAGCCACCCGCGTGCTCTTTATCTCTAGGCCTCCCAGATGGGGTCCGAGCAGATGGGGTCGGAGGCTCGCGCCGAATCGCCGATGCATCGGCGATGCGGCTCGATGTGGAGCCCGATTTTCTTCACGCCGACGTCGCCGATGCATCGGCGACGCGGCGCGATCCTCCGGCCCCATCTACGCGGACCCCATCTGGAAGGCCTCTATTATCGTTGATGTTGAAGCTCAGGAAGCTTATCTCGCTGATGTAGTCATATGGTTATCAAGCCTATCACACCGCCTGAAGATACAATGGGCTGGCATTCCGAGCTGCACCCCCTAGTGAACCCAGAACCTCTGGGCCCGGATTTCGGACCTCTCAATGGAACCCGAACAGGGCTGATCTGGTGGAGTTGGAGAGTGCATGGGAGGATTTGGAGAAACCCATACATGCAAGCTCGATGAAGACGAGATTCTGAGGCCGGCTCATGCGAACAAGACCGAAGTCGGATTCGCTAAGTTTGAGATTGCACATGAATTGGCGTTCGAGCTTGAGAGAGTCAAGAGGAATCTGCGCATTTATGTTGCCACCGAGGAGACTAAAGACGACTGTGCGAGAGATCGACTGCGTCGCCATCTTCGTGGAAATATGGCTTGAGCATTGCAAGTGGCGTCTGGCCGCTTCAGGGCCGGCCCTCACCGAGCTAAATCGCGGAAAGCCCCCCGAAATGGATCGCAGCGACGGTCCGAAAGAGGCTTTGCGTCACGGGAAGAAGTAATTAGAATATGTTGTTCTGCAGCGGTACGTTGTGCATACGCACATATGAAGGTATTGCGACAGGCGGTCAATGGTCAAAGGAGGTAGAACGCCGAGGCTAGAAAGCCCCGGACGCCCGACAGCTCTTCCGATCTGTTGTTGCGTCTACGATTTGTGTCCCCAAGCGAGGTGGCTACCAGGTTGCCAACTCCGAGGCACTTTACTAAAAGGCTTGTTTCCTTTAGCAAATAGTTCCTTCAAAGTAATGGTGTGAATTTTCCGTTTCCAATACCCGCATGAAACGATCGACAACGATGTATTTAACGAATGAGCCATAGCGTACCTGGATAGTTTTCGCGAGAGGAGGTATGGAGGGGCATGTTTGTCGACGGTTATCTCTAAGTTCTCCCTGACAATGCGATTATGGCAAGAAGGGCTGCTGTCGCTTCGAATCGGGCAGGAAAGGATTGACCATGTTCTCGCGGCCTTGGGAGAGTGATGAGATCCCACAGCCATGTACGGATCCCAGAATGCGATTGCGAAGATGCGGGATGTCATTGGCTCTCATGGCCCTCTGACGGTCACAGTCGCAATCCGTGTAGTCCGGATCAGAGTGCAATCGCGTTTATTGATTGAGTTGATTTCGAGCCCGCCAGTGGGTGACCCTTCCTGGTATGGGGAAACTGCGATGGTGGCGAATGATCTCGCCCAAGTCAGCAGCAAAGCCTCTGGCAGGAGTGCTTCTTCCAAAAAAGACGTCAGCATGGCACCGGTTGCGACGGGCGGCTCTGCTGGCGTCGTGGCGGTGACGGACGCAGCAGCAAGAGCGGGGGTGTGCTGATGTTATCCCCATTCCGGTTGCCCGTGTCCTGGCCGCGGGTGCCGATGACGGTAGGCGACGGCGCAGGCAAGACGGCGATGATGGCAATGTTGATGTGGGAATTGACAACAACAGATAGTCTAGACGTCGCCAACACCGTAGATCGAAGAATGCAGAGACCGCGGTTGAGTGGAACCCAGGAAACGGTGATAGCTCCAAGAGGCACACATCTTATCGTCCCGAGTCGCGCGAACATGTGGACCAACAGAGGAGCTGAACACAAAGGCAGATGCAGGACGTCTACGACCTCATAGGGGAAACGGAGGAGGAAGTGCCTCCACATCGCCGCCCACCCAGGGAAGGGGCGTAATCTGGGCTTGGCATCGCTCGGACGTGTGCATTTATCCTTCGGCAAGGACCATCGAGGAGCATCCTTGATCATTTCGCGAAAAAACCACGCACGGAAGCGAACAAAAACACAGGAAATGGACGAGCGATGGCCAGTGGGTGGATCAACGAGAAGTACGGCCACAGGTCTGGCGGCTGCCCAGGGGAAGGCCGTGGCGACGGTGGCCGAGGAGGCGAGCCTTGGGCGTGGACTGCGGGGAGGGGCCCATGGGATGCTGAGCGCCAAGGTAGCGGATGGCAGGGAGCCCCCCTTTCGAACGGGGTCCGAGGTCGGCGGAGGAGAAGGACCACAACGGCGGAGCGAACAGCGCGGGGTGACCCGCGGGCCTGTCGAGCAAGTTCAGGCTGCTTCGAGCGGCCCAAGGCCACAGCTGTTCGCAGCAGGAGTGGGTGCTACTCGAGCGGCCCGCGCTCTCAAAATCCTGTCAGGGCTTTGGGCGCCCTGGCGAGGTGTGCCGACTGCTGGCGCGCAAAGGCCTGGTGGCTTCGGAGCCCCCCCCGGGGGGAGTCAGGAAACTGCGCTCCCCACGCCTTGCAGCAGGAGTGGGTGCTGCTCGAGCGGCCCGCGCTCTTCAATCCTGTCAGGGTTTTGAGCGCCCCGGCGAGGTGTGCCGACTGCTGGCGCGCAGAGGCCCGGTGGCTTCGGAGCCCCCCCCGGGGGGAGTCAGGAAACTGCGCTCCCCACGCCTGCCTCGTGGGCTTTGTGTGCGCTCGCCCCTGGCGCACGCATGGCTCAAGGAATCCGCCAGGATAGGACCCCGCCTGCGCCTTAGGGGAGAAAGGTCCTGCCGCGCGCGTGCCACAGTCCAGGCCCACATCGACTCAACGGAAGTAAACAGCAATGTCGCATGGTTTCGTGGAGGGCCCGTCCGTCAACAGGGTCCGAGAGAAGGGCACCCTTGAGCTAGGAGACCAGAGTAAGTACAACGCTCACATGTCAGAAGTTGAGGAACCTGTGGCACATCATTCTGTGGTGCCGCCGAACGCCCCGCCAAAAGCGCCAAACCACACCGATCGTGCGAGGGGTGTGCCCAGATGGGGCGAGGCACTGTGCGCCCGCAGCCAGTTGGGCCGCCGGTGGAGCTCCCAATGGGGCCACGCAGTGTGCGATGGACGTGCCGAAATGGGGCAGGCGATGATCAGCGTTCGACATGCGGAGAGCAGAACGGCTAGGGGAGGAGGGCACATGGAGCAGAGGAGGAGACGGGGGAGGCGAGGAGAAGAGGAGACGCGCGGCGCTGCGAACTCAAAACGAGGACCTAGCTCGCAGGAGGCTTGGGGAAATCACTTCTGCTGCATGCAGGGCACACGAAGCTCTGGAAGTCGATGGCGGTCCCCAGAGGTCGTTGGAGGGGCTCGGATGCCACAACGTCGATTGCGAATTTGGGTTATTGATCGAGGACACATGCTCTCGGATATGATGTCAATACCCGCGCTGGCAAAATACCCTGGAAAAGTTTCGAGGGCTAGTACCCCATGCCAGGCCTCCGTACATTTAAAGCGACATGCCTCCCCATGCACAACCGCGCAGCATTACGGGCGAAATGAGGGGAAAGCAAAGGAGAGGAGGAGAAGCGGGAGGAGGATGCAAAAAACCTGGAAGAGGAGGAGGAGGAGGGAGAGGATTAGGAGGAGGAGGAGGAGGAGGAGGAGGAGGAGGATGAGGAGGAAGAGGAGGAAAAGGAGGTGGAGGAGGAAGAGGAGGCAGAACACAGGGTGTAGGGGAGGGGTGCAGCAGGAGTACGGAGGGCCCATTGGGAGCAGCCAGAGGAGGGAGGGGGGCGCATCTCCAGCGGCGAGGCGCCTGAGGTCTTGAAAGAGGGACGACGAGGCGGAGGATGAGGAGGAGGGCGGACGAGGAATCTTTCGAGGAAGAGGAGGAGGAGGAGGAGGAGGAGGAGGAAAATCAGGGGGAGAGGAGGAGGCGAAGGAAGAGGGGCAAGGATGGAGACGTTGCAGTTGGCCCGCCCAGGAGGAACTCTTGGCCACGCGTGTCTGGGGGTGCAGGCTGGCCCTTCATTTTGCGCTCTCGGGCCTCTCAGCCAACTGAGGGGTGTGCCCCTTGTCAGCGCCCCAAGGATGGAGACGTGTTGGCATGGAGAGAATGGTTTCTAAGGAAGACGGGTCCTAGATCCCAGATCATGTCCTTCGGTTTGTTCTGTTCATCCCGAGTCGTTCGTTTTGGCAAGTCGTACCTGAGCCAGAGCCCAACAAATCTTTCTGGGAAGTCAGGGGAAGGGCCACCGGCGAAAAAGAGGATGAGGAGGAGGAGAAGAAGGAGGAGGACGAGGAGGAGGAGGAGGAGGAGGAGGAGGAGGAGGAAGAGGATGCCGCGAGGAGGGCGCGATCGCGGGCCTCTTCGCCGCGGCTGGTGCTGGCGCTGGCTCTGGCAGCTCGGGCCGCCGTCGTTGTCGCCCCACGCCGGAGCGCCTGCGGTCTCGGGCCGCCCGAGGCCGAGGAGGGCGCCAGTGAGCAGTGGGTCCCCCGAGGCTGGTCGCGAAGCTGCTCGCGCCTCGTCTTGGCATCGCTCGGACGTGTGCATTTTTCCTTCGGCGAGGACCATCGAGGAGCATCCTTGATCATGTCGCGAAAGAAGCACGCACGAAACCGAAAAAAGCACAGGAAATGGACGTCCGAGCGATGGCCAGTCGTGCGTCGCGGCCCAGGCCAGGAAGCTGCCCCTCGAAGGGGCCGGCCTCGCGAGGGCACGAAGGCAACCGCGCGCCGCGCTTCCGCGGGGGCGGGGCGGCCTCGGGCGGGCACTGCCGATCCGGCGTCGCGACCAGAGTGGGGCACCCCGAAGAATCACGACCGGAGCCCCAGACCCCGTCGCGTTGCTGCATCTTCTAGGCCAGGTCGAGCTGTAATGGTGCCAGGGGGCCCGAAGTTGGGCGGAACCGCACGGTGCGACCAAACTTCTGGGGTCGCCGAAGGATGGCTGGTCCTCCGGAGCTGGTCGACGAGGTTTTCGGGCGTTTGCGCTGGTTCATGCAGGTTTGTCCTGCATGCGTTCCAGCGGCTCCGCCGCGCCGAGAGCGTTCCAGGGGTGCCTGGATCGTCCCAGACGGCCGCCAGAGGCCTGAGCTGGGATCCGAAGGCGAGGATCGATGGCACGCGGGAATGACCCTTCGCTGGTCTGACTTCTGGTTCGGGTCCATTGGGGTCCCCCGGTCGCTGCAGCGACTTGTTCTTTTGTGTTTGGCCCAGTTTTTTTCCCCGGGCCCCTTAAAGCCTTGGCTCAGGGCCATTCTTGCATGTAGCCGAGGAGCGGGAGCGGCGCCGTTTCGGGCGCCGTCGTGGGCAGGTTTTGTTCCGAATTCAGTCTCGCCTCGCTCCTGGATCTGGGGGCCATTGGGGAGCCGATCGCGACGCCAGAGGTGCGCCAGACCGCTGCACTGGAGCATCCTCCGGGTTCTGCACTGGAGCATCCTCCGCTCTGGAGCCATAGGGTTCTGCGCAATTCGGCGGTGTGGCGATAAACGGCGGGGTGAAGAGTGCACCCCGTGTGCACCTTAGTGGCCCTGGAGCCCCCCCCCCCCGTTTATCGCCCTCGGGGGAAGGAGAAGCGGCACCATCACCACCACCCCCAGGGAGGAGAGGTCCACGATGCTTCCCCGAGCTGGGGGCAGGGGACGGTTCGAGTGCGAGCGGGGGCGACCACCATCAGGGGGACACCCCCCTGACTCCTCCCGCTCATAGCCCCTGGTGGTGGTCCTGCTGCCGCCTTCCCTTGCTCCTGGTCCCCCCCCCCCCCCTGCAACGCCCAAGACCACCACGTAACGGAGCCGAAACAACTCGCGCCCTTGCGGTTGCGACCCTGGCCGGGCCCCCCACCGCCAGCAGTTGCCGCGCAGCTCGCCCAGCCGTTTTCCCCTTTTTAGGCTTCCTGGGCGGCCCTCGTCACCACCGCTGGACTCGCCTCGAAATTCTTGCCAGAACGCACCCGAGGAGAGGTCCGGGGAGCAGCGGCATCGGTACCTGTGGGTCTCCCCACAGAAGTCTAGTTGTCCCAAAAAGGGGTCCAGCTGAACGAGGGTGGTGCAATAGATCTGGTGCAATTGATTTGTGGTTTGCATTGGATGTTGGGCGTGCAATACATTCGCATGCGCAAAGGTATTGCTGGATGTTCGCGTGCAATACAGTAGCTGCGATACAATGCAATACAGCTCTCAGGCGCACTATATGTGCAGTGCGATTGCCCCAGCTCTATTTCGGGGCTGGACAGAACCCCCAACAGTGACACGTCGATTAGTGAATTGTCCGTTTTCGGTTCTCGAAAGGGCGCCGTGGCCGTCATTTTCCAGGCTTGCGCCCGCCAGGTTTGGGCCTCAGGTCGTTTTCACTAAACCACGTTTTACTAAAGGGGGGTCTGTCCATCCCCGACTATTGCACCACCCCCTTTCAGCTGGGCCCCCCTGTTGGGGTCAACCTAAAGAAGGCCTGAGCCGTCTGGGAAGGCCAGCCCCCTCTGCCTTTCCCCAACCCACCGGGCGCGCCGCCGGCTCCCTCTTCTTCTCCTGGGGGGCGGGCGTCGCGCCGCGGTGTGCCCGCCAAAAGGGCGGCTGGCTGCTACGGCGCCGGCCAAACCTCCCGTCGGGGTTTCTGTCGAAGGCGCACGGAGGCGTGGCTCTGGAGCGCCTCGGGCCCCACAACCTCTTTGGGGGTGCCTTCGGGCTGGAGCTTCGGAGGGGGGAATTCGCCCGTGGCGACGAGAAGACTGGAAAGCGCCCCGAAACCTCGACCGATCCCCGAGCCCCGATTGGTACGGCTTCGGGATGTCCAAGGCTGGTCAGGGACCTGTTGAGGCCAGCTGGGGCTACCCGGGGGGGGGGGTACAGTCAACCCGCATCGAAAGGATGGGCAACATTCCCAAGGGTACCCTCGCATCCTTGCCTCCTCGGTCCATCCTTGGCCACTTTCGTTCGCCGCGCCCATGCTCGAAAGGCTTCGATGTGGGCGCCGAAGGCCCTTGCATCCTCATCGCGCATCGTTATGACACGGGCCAGCGGTAGCCCCGGCAGGGCCTCAGCAGGCCCCCCAGGCAGCCCCAAAGGTGGCCTCACAGGCCCGCCGGGTAGCCTGGGGCAGTCTCGGGACCCTGGCGCCGCTGCGATGGCGGCGCCTCTTGGGGCGCTCCGCGCCCCAGGGGCTCTGGAGGGGCTTGCTGAGACCAAACCAGGACTTCCTGGGCTATGTTGCTTCCATGGCACTTCAGGTCCACATCCCAGAAACAATTCTGAGCGCCCGAAACAGTGCCTGGCGACACGCTAGCGGAGTGTCGGACGAGTATCGCCTCCCAGGGCCCGACACGTGAAAATTTTCCAATGTTGGTATTTCCCTGGTGCTCGAAATTCGTTCTGGCGATTGAGGCTAAAGTAGGTCGGAACATCCTACTTCCCGGGGGGCCTGTTGAGGCCAGCTGGGACCACCTGGGGGGGCCCGTGCGCAGCCCGAAGACTTAGCAACCAACGACCAAGATCGCAAGGATAACAGCGATAAGACCCAGTAACGGCAGCGGTAACGAGAACCGCGATCACAACGATCGGTGTTGTTGTGATCGGTGTCGTCGTGATCGTTGTCGTTGGGATCGTTGCTCTCGCTGTGATCGTTGTCGTCCTTACCGTTGCGATCGATACCGTTCCAATCGTTCTCGTTGTGATCGTTGCCGTTGTGATCGTTGTCGTTGTGATCGTTCTTCTGGTCGTGATCGTTGTCCCCTCTCCAGGAGGAATGCCCAAACATAGTCCAAACAAACAGTCCGGGAGCAGTTTTTTCAATAGGTTTGAAGATGTTTGAATACATGCTGTGGGTATCCTTCATTTTTCGCCGAAGATCCCACTGTAGGAGGACATGCCCAGCTTAAGGCTCCCCCTCGACAGTCGAAGAGGAGCCCCCCGCGGCTCGCTAGAAGGCAGCGGCGGCAGCCCCTTCGGCGGGACCGCGGCGCCCTCGCTCGGCTCTGGGCATTTTGTCGGCATTTTTTGTGGGTATGTTGTTCGTCGACAGTCCCCCTGCAGGAGGACATGCCCAGCTCAAGGCTCCCGCGAAGACGGCCACGAACGTGTTCCTGAGCTTGTCGGGTTCCGGCGGGAAGCTGTGGCCACATAGGGAGCGCGGGCAAAAATGGTATTCACAATTGCGGTATTCACAACTGCATATGGTTGGGTTCTTCGCCAGGCTAATTTTTGTTCGTCGACAGTCCCCCTGCAGGAGGACATGCCCAGCTCAAGGTTCCCCCTCGACAGCCGAGGCGCCCCCCCCCCCCCCCGCGGCTCGCCCGCAGGCAGCGGCGGCAGCCCCTTCGGCGGGGCCGCGGCGCCCTCGCTCGGCCTCGGCGCGGGCGGCGGCCTCTTCGGCGCCAGCACCACCGCCGCCGCTCCCGCGCAGGCCGCCGAGGAGGAGGAGGAGGAGGAGGAGGAGGAGGACGAGGAGGACGAGGAGGAGGAGGAGGAGGAGGAGGAGGAGGAGGAGGAGGAGGACGACGAGGAGGACGAGGAGGACGAGGAGGAGGAGGAGCAGGAGGAGGAGGAGGACGGCGAGGAGGAAGAGGAGCAGGATCCAGGCCTCCCAGAAGGGGTCGGAGTTGGTGGGGTCGGAGGATCGCGCCGCATCGCCGATGCGCCGCCGACGCGGCGCGATGCGGAGCCCGATTGTTCTCACGTCGATGGCGCCGGCGCATCGCCGACGTCGCCGATGCATCGCCGGTGCATCGCCGATGCATCGCCGATGCATCGCCGATGCATCGCAGATGTATCGCCGATGCTGCGCGATCCCCCGACCTCATTTACCCCGACCCCATCTAGGAGGCCTCTAGAGGAGGACGAGGAGGAGGAGGAGGAGGAGGGATAATAGGAGGAGGAGGAGGAGGAGGAGGAGGAGGACGGGATCAGAGCTCGAAGCTCAAGTTGGCTTGAACGCGCTCAAGCTCGAGCGCGCTTCCGCACCGAGGCTGCTGAGCGGTGTCGGCGAGTGCTGCCCGACCTAGTACCTTACGTGTCACCCGCTCTTGCAGCCGAGCGCACTGGAAGAACACATCATCATCATCATCGTCATCATCATCATCATCAGCAGCATCATCATCATGATCATCATCATCATCATCATCATCATCATCATCATCATCATCATAATCATCATCATCATCTTCATCATAATCGTCTCTATCATCATCATCATCATCATCATCATCATCATCATCATCCTCATCCTCATCCTCATCATCATCATCATCATCATCATCATCATCATCATCATCATCATCCTCATCCTCATCCTCATCATCATCATCATCATCATCATCACCCCCATCATCATTATTATCAGCATCAGTATCATCATTAGCATCTTCAGCAGCATCATCATCAGCAGCAGCATCATCATCATCCTCATCATCATCAGCATCATCATCAGCATCATCAGCATCATCAGAATCGGAAGATGGAGGAGGAAGATCAGAGGAGGAAAGGGCTACACCCCCAGCCAAGACCCCCACTGCCGACCTGGTGATCCAGGGGGGCTGGGGGTGGGGGTGGTTTGGGGGTGTTCTTGAGGGTCAACCTTCACCCCCCCACCAGGTCGGGAGTGGGGGTCCTGGCTGGGGGTAGAGGTGGGTTGTGCTGTCCTCAGATACCGCTGCCCCTGCCTTGTTTCGCCCTGCCGGGCCTCCTGACAGGCCGTCGTCGCCATGGCTGGTTTTGCCGAGAAATTGCAGGCAAAACGTGAGTAGCGGTATCGGTATCTTCCTGTTCCTGCAAAAGGGGGGGCCAGGGGATAAGCGGGTGTCCGAAGGCTTTCTGGGGCGGGTGGCGGGCCGTGAGTTTCAGGTGGTTCAGTGGGCTCCCTGGGTTTCTGATGATGGGAGAGGGAAAGGGTATGAATCTGTGAGATTAGGGCGGTGAGCGGGAGACCAAGAGGGGGTGGAGCAGAATGAGGGGGGACGAGGTGAAGAGAGGGAGGCGAGTGAATGGTGTGACGGTTATCGTGATGGTGATGATGATGGTTGTGATGATGATGATGATGATGATGGTGATGGTGATGATTCTGGTGGTTGTGATGGCGGTCATGTTGGTGACGCTACTGATGATTCACGGCGATGGTGACAACGATGCACCGTTCCGCCCTGGCAGAATTGGGAGCGTCGGCTTTGCTCGTTGCCCATGGGCGCACGCGCATTGCGCCGCCCCCTATGCCGGGTCTGGCAGCCACGGGCCCTCAGCCCCTGCCCTGCTCCCTTCGGGCCAGCAGGTGGCGAGAGGACGGCGGCCGCATCCCTGCGCAGGCTCCGCCCCGCTGCAGGCCTCGCGCTCTCAGTCCCGCGTGGGCTCTGTGGTGTCACAGGCCCTCGCCAATTTCTACAGTGGGAACCCATGCCAAGAAACACCCTGCGTGCCTCCAGGGTGCCCTGGGTCTCTTGGTGTTCGATGGTATCCGTGACGTTCCCACACCAGGAACATATGGAGGTCCTGGGGCCTCAGGGTTGGGCCTCTTCTGAAAGGTTTCTGTTGGTCGAGCTCCTACTGTGCCTCCCCTCGTCTCGCCAGGTGCCTCAGCCTCGCCGACCAGAGGGCATCACCATGCCACGGTTGCGGCTCACGAGCGGGGTCTGCCCCGATGGCCTGCCCCTGGAGGCTGGGGCTGGGGCCAGCCCTTCCTGCGGGGCGAGGCACCGCGCTGTGTGTCGAAGCCGACCGCCGTGCTCGAGCGGGAAACGCTTCCGAGCCCCAGGCCGTCGCCTCCCCGGGGGCAAGCCGAGGACGACCCGTCGAGAGCATGCCATCCGCCCACACTGGGCCAGTCCTCCCCCGCCCGACTCCCGAGGCGCTCCAGTTTCTCCGCCTGCTTGCGCCTTCGGCGCCCCTGCTGCATCCTGCGCTTGGCCAGAGTGGCGGACCGTTCTGGTCGGCGCCTGGCCGCTCTGAGCCCTGCAGCTCGTACTGCATCGCCGCGATCTGCGCACCTCTGCGCGCCTTCGCAGCAGGGGTGCAGGGCGCGCCCGGCTGCTCTCGGGGTCCAGCGTCCGCAGGCACGCGGCCGTGGCGCCCACCTCCGCGCGGGTGCCCCTGGATCTCGGCGAGAGTGGAGCCCACTGGTGCGGTGCTTGGCCAGCACCTTCAGCCTCGGCTGCAGCCGCTGTGCGCGGGCCGCGGCGCGCTGCCGCGGTGCTGCAGGCTGCGGCCCCTGCCGTGCCACCGCGGGCCCGCGCCCACCGCCTCCCTGGTCGTGGAGCGCGCCGCCCAGGCTACTCGCCAAGCTGGGGCCCAGCCCTGCCAAGCTCGTGCGCCGCTGTCCGCTCGCCCCTGTGCCGCGCAGCTGGCCCCCGCCGCCGTCCTCTCGCGTCGCAGCCCTCCGCGGCGCAGTTGCGCGCCGCGCGACCCTGCCGCCGAGCTCCGCGCCGCAGCCCCTGCCGCGCTGGGCCCCCGCTGCCAGGGCGGCCTCGTCCGTGAGCTGGGCGGCTCGGCGCACCCGCCTGTCGGTCGCAAGGGCCCGCCTTGGCGCGCGGTGCTCCTCGATCCGTGGGCGTCGCCGAGCGCTTGGTCCGAGGCTCCTAGGCCCAGGGCGGCCTCGTCTCAAGGCCGGGCGGCTCAGCGCACCCGCTCTCGGTCGCAAGGGCCCGTCCAGGCACGCGGCGCGCCTCCGTGAGCGTCGCCGGGCGCATTGCCCGAGACTCACGTGCCGCCCGTCGTGGCGCGCCGCGCATGGCGCCAGAACCTCGGAGGCAACGACAGGGGGTGCTGGCACAGGGGGCGAGGAAGCATCGACCCCCCATCGCACACATCTCCTCGCTGATCGAGGCCTGGCTGCCCCAACCCCCCCGGGAGCGCGCGGATCCGCTTACTATCAGGGCCAATGTCGCCGATCTATCGGCGCGGTGTGGCCGATTCCACCCTTCTGAGCCAGTCCCCCCCCAATGTTCCCTCTGAGTCCCCGCGCAGGGCGCGGGCGGGCCGCAGCCTGGCGCGGCCGCGGCTCTGTCCGCGCAGTGGATGTCGTTCTCTGCCGTCGAGCTGGTCGTCAGGCTGGGGGTCGGCCCGGTCGGCCTGGGCACCGCTGGGAGCTCACATGGCTCGCCCAGCTTTCCCGAGCCCTCAGTTCGCCCCGCCGTCGGCGGCGCGCGCGCCCAGCACCTCGCCGCCGAGCCGTGTGTGCTCGTCTCCGTCTCCGCGTCGGCATGCCCGGCGTCGAGCGCGGGCTGGGCGGCACGGCTGCTGGCAGCCGCGCCGGCGAGCTCGCCCTCGGCGTGCGCTGGCCGAGGCGCCCTGCGCGCCGCCGCCGCCCTGGGCCTCGGTGCAATCGATCGAGCCAGCAACTCGCCTCGGCCACTGCCACCTCCCCGCCGCCACCGTGGCGCAGGAGGACCCCCTTGGGGCGCCCTTGGAGCGCCGCCCAGGGAGCGCCCCGCGAGCGCGCTGGGAGGGCTCCGGGAGCGCATCTGGGGGGCGCCCTGTGGGAGCGTTGCCGTAAAGGCGCCCTGGGGGCGCTCCGGGATGGCCCCGGGGCCTCGCCCGCAGCCGCCGTGGCCCCCCCGGCGGCAGCGCCCGCCGCCCGGATCGAGCTGGTCAGCAGGGTTTGGGCCTCGTCG